GCAGTAGTGTCTCACCAATCCTGAAATCACTTCTCCAGCTGACAGTCAGGGACAGAGAAGTGGAAAAGACCCTCACACAGCCACCACAGACCTCACAATGTCCAGATTCCAAAGTTCATGCCATGCAATCACAGAAAGGCCTTTCAGACTCATTTGGATTCTTTTCATTCTTGCTTCACAAACAGCTCTAACAGGCTTACTCTGAATTTTTGTTATTATTGCCTTTTTTTTTTTTGTCCCTCAAATATTGGAAGCAGGCAACAGATTGGAAGAAAGATGTTGAACTGCTAGTGATAGGCATACTGAGAATCAAAAAAGCGATGGTTAGCCGCAGCTGAAAGACACACAAGAGCAACGGAAGCACAAATAGGAATCCCAAAAGCATAGACAACTGGAGTCATTTCAGTATAGAGACAAACAGCCATGTACATTTCAGTAGACCCGAAGGTATCACTGTGGTACTGAGTCATCAAAAATAATTTCTATAAAAGGAGTCCTTCCATCCAGCTTTCAATCCCAAGAATAATGGCCCAGCCTCATCCAGTTCATGGGATTTTTATTCCTAATAAGTTCAGTAAGTTGTTTCCAATATCAAGAATGAGATTCTCCCTAGGGTATCGAGCCCCTATGTTGGCTCTTCCTCTTCACATGAGCTGCACACATTCAGAGGCAACAAACAGAAGCTCTCTGCATTCCCAATCCTCTTAGCAGAAAAGAATATGACTGTAAATTAACATAAAGATTCTTCAGAGACAAGGCACAGAAACAGCGTATGCAGGATATTGGAGGAATGTCCAAAACACTTAAGCACGGACTGTTTCCAAGCTCCCATAAGCAGTTGAGCTGCTTCTATTTACCTACAAATAACCAGCATGCTCCAGATAATCTTTCTTCCTTATTTATTAAAGGAGGCCCAAAGAGCCCCTCTAGGCTGCTGTTGACTGATGACATCAATGGGTGGATGGATGGTAAATAAATAAACCTGGTGACGTAGCTGGAGTTATTTGAAAATAACACTTTCATTAAATACAGCCCTATGCAGACTTTCACTGATTTACACATTCCCCCCAAGGAATCTGCATCAGTGAGACCTCATCGTGTTCATATTTATGTTTCAGATCATTTTAGCTGCTTATATTTTAAGATGACATCCAACATTTAGATGAAAAGTCAAGAACCCATCATGTTGAAGCATTTGAGTATCCAGATGGTTGGCATCAGTAGACATAAGCATTGTGTATCCATTCATTTTACAAATATTTATTAAGTGTCTGCTCCATGCCTGGCTCTCTGCTAGGTCCTGAAGATCCCAAACTGGGTAAGATTGATTACTCAGTCAACTTCACAAAACCAGATCACCTTGAAGCAGAAGGAGGAAAGCAACTGTAACCTGCACCATGCCTGCCACTGCTTTAGACACCTTTATGTAATATCTCTTTTTGTTTCATGACAAATCTCCAAAAGTCAACCCTTAAACAGATGAAGAAACAAACTCAGAGATGCCAGTTAACTTGTTCAAGCCACACATCTCGCGAGGGTCACAGCAAGAACTGCAGCCATTTCTCTGCACGGCCCAATACAGGGGCCTGAGATGGAAAGCATAGAGCAGACTACACTGACTGCCACCAGCTGGTTGCACCTCTTCAAAAAAAAGAAAAAAGCTCTTCTGAGCCTCTGTTTCTCCATCGAGCAATGGGATCACATGCCTCTCTCAGACACTAGTTGTGGAAATCAAAAGAAATCATTTATGTTGGGGCTTCTGGCTTTGGATCTAACATGCATTAGGTAGGTGCTCAGCAAATGTTTATTTCATTGATGGATAGGATCTTCAAACCCTCCTTCACTCTCACCTGCCACCCGCAACAGTCCTCTCTACACCAGCGTCCGCTGACAGCAGTATCACTGGATGCTTCCAGAAGAAGGCAGCTCACAACTTCCTGAAGCACCCTGTTTTAAAATAAGGCCTCACTAACCTGGCATCATTGCATTTCTGTGTGCCCAGACTGTACCAAGTGTGGAGAGGACAGGAGAAGACACGGGCCACCCCTGGAAGTTGACAGTGTAGCTCTGAAGACAAAGTCTGTCTATTCTTGAAATATTAGAAAGCATTAAGGGGGCCGAGCATGGTGGCTCTCACTTATAATCCCGGCACTTTGGAAGGCCAAGCGGGGGGATCACCTGAGGTTAGGAATTCTAGACCAGTCTGTCCAACTTGGCAAAACCCCGTCTCTACTAAAAATACAAAAATTAGCTGGGCGTGGTGGCTGGTGCCTATAGTCCCAGCTACTCAGAAGGCTGAGGCAGGAGAATCACTTGAACCCAGGCGGTGGAGGTTGCAGTGAGCCAAGATCACGCCACTGCACTCCAGCCTGGGCGACAAAGCAAGACCATCTCAAAGGAATAAAAAGCATTAAGGGCAGCATTAGAGAACTTTCCAAGATGCCTCATCTTCAATAACAAGAATGGGAAACAGTGGAGGCGTGGCATCTCCTCCTTGGGATGCAGAAGCTGAGCCAGCCCCCAGGCCAAACAAAGGTGGCCAGGCTTCTCCCTGAATCCTGGTACTCACAGAACAGACTTCGTTTTCTTCATCTCACTGGTCCCTCCTGCTCAGTCACCTTTTGAGCTACTGTCCCATGTAATTTCTAGGCCAGCCAAGTATCCTGGCCTTGTGAGACACCAGTCTTGCTCTCATGTTTGGAATGTGAACCACCATGAAAAAGAATAAATGATTAAAAAGGAGATTTTGTAATTATTCATCAAAGTCAGATGGAGTGAAGTCCTTCACTTTCTACTACTCTAGCTGGATATAAGGGTGGGTGTTCAAGCTCTTGAATCTGGCTTTTTTTTTTTTTTTTTTTTTTGAGACAGGATCTTGTTCTGTCACTCAAGCTGGAGGGCAAGAGCATGATGACGACTCACTGCAGCCCCAAACTCATGGGCTCAAGTGATCCTCCCGCCTCAGCCTCCCAAGTAGATAGGACTACAGATATGCACCACCATGCCTGCTTTTTTTTAATTTCTTTTTTATAAAGACAGAGTCTCACTATGTTGCTCAGTTGTCTCAAACTCCTGGCCTCAAGCAATCCTCCTGCCTTGGCCTCCCAAAGTGCTGAGATTACAGGCCTGAGCCATCATGCCCAGCCCAAATCTGGCCTTTTAGATCACCTTCCAGCTCTACTGCTTCTAACTGGTAAACCTAGACAAGTTATTTAACCTCATTAAGCCTTGATTTTCTCATCTGTAAAGCAGTTCCTCCCTAAGGATTATAAGAAAAGAGGTCAGCAAATCTGGCTCACCGCCTATTTTTGTGAAGGCCTATAAACTAAGAATGTTTTTTATGTTTTAAACGGTTGGAAAAAAAATCAAGAGAATATTTTGTGACACACAAAAAGGATATGGCATTCAAATGTCAGGGTCATCAAGTTTTATTGGAATATAGCCACACACATTTGTTTACATGTTATTTGTGGCTGCTTTTCTGCTACTACAGCAAAGTTGAATTGTTGCAACTGAGATGTTATAGTCCAGAAAGCCTAAAATATTTACTGTCTGTCTCTTTACAGAAAATGTTCGCCAACCTCCGGTAAAGAGAAAATGAAGGAATGCCTAGATGTGCCTATAATAGAGTAAACACCTTCAAAATGTCACCTCATTTTCCTTTATTAATGTCTAGCTCCTGTCTGGCCATATTTGTATGTTTTTGCATTTGGAAATAGATACCCAAGTATTTACAAAGTTTTTCTAAATTATTTTTTAAATCATTGCAAAATATGCATTCCCTTATAGAACATATAGGAATATCTAGCTTTTTTTGTTTTTGGTTTTTTGGTTTGAGACTGTTTCACTCTTGTTGCCCAAGTTGGAGTGCAATGGTGTGATCTCAGCTCACTGCAACCTTTGCCTGCCAGGTTCAAGCTATTCTCCTGCCTCAGCCTCCTGAGTAGCTGGGATTAAAGGCATACACCACCATGCCCAGCTAATTTTGTATTTTTAGTAGAGATGGGGTTTCTCCATGTTGGTCAGGCTGGTCTTGAACTCCTGACCTCAAGTGATTCCCCCCATCTTTGCCTCCCAAAGTGCTGGGATTACAGGCATGAGCCACCGTGCCCGGCCAGGAATATCAAGTCCTTAAATGGCATTGCTAATGTAGAATAGAGTGACCTGACCTCACAGAAAGACAATGGAACAACATCCTTCCAGATGTCATCCTCTGGTCTTATCCTTATTGAAATACATAGTACACGGATCTGGATTGGAAGCAAATAATAACCAGGTCTCCAGATTCCACTGTATCACAGAACATGGATCCAGTCACCCCTATTTTACCAGTGAGGAATCTAGATCCAGATGAAGTTGAAGGACTTACCCAAGAGCACCAGCAACTCTCTGACCACCCCCAGGCCCCTGTCTTGGTGCCTTTCCGGCGAGGGCTGTTCCCTGAAGTTCTTCCTGATAGGCACACTGCCTTTCCCTTTCATTTTAAGTCCTTGGCTCAAATGACGTGCCCAGACTATATCATGTGATATGACCTTGAAAAATAATTTATGCACAAGTCTTGAAAGCAAATCATATCAATTTTTAAAACAAAGTAGCCTCTACTCTGCCCCAGCCTTGAGATCTGTTACCAAGCAAATGCTGGCATTTTAACTTCCCTAATCAAGACTGGTCCTGTTTAGCCAACCTCTTTAAGGGGTCCCAGCACCAGCCTCACTCCAAGGCCTGATGAAGTTCCAGAACAGGTGAGAAAAATGACAGGGCCCTGCCCAGAGCTCTGGGAGGCAGCCCTCACTGCCTGCCCTTCAGCAGGGAGACAGAAAAGGCATTCATTTTCTTCCTCCACGTCATGATACCAACCGAAATTACCTTTAAATGAGGAAGAAGGTCATTATTTAATCAATAGGATTGCGTCAATTGAGGAAAATTTGTCTCCAGTGTAAACAAGCGGAACGTCTTTGCTCCGTGAAAACAAGGTTAAATTACTTGCAGATCCAGGGGACGTGCAGAGATGTAGGAAGTGAACCTGAAGCCTGACACATTCAAGGTCTGGGAACCGAACATAATAGGAATTGTTCTTATTTTTCCAGCAGAATCGAGCACAAAGATGGGCATGCCTCTTTGCAGAACCTTAGATTCAGAACTATGACTTACCCTTTGCTTATGAGGCGGAGGAGGAGGTAGAAGAAGAGAAAGAACTACCACAAAGAGAGAAGACATCAAAGGTAAAATGAAGGCTGGCCCAGCCGATCCCACTCAGGCTGACCACAGTAAGGGAGCAGCATTAAAGCAAGAAACTATCAGGTTTCAGAAGCCCAGTCCTTCCCGCCAAGTCTCATCCTTTGCTTCATCCATTCCATTCAACAAGTCACATTGAAAATAAATTAGCATTAATACAATGGCAGCTAACATTATCAGGTCTCACTCCATGCCAAGCATGCCAAGCCCAGGTCATACACGGTGCTAGTCAATGTTCACAACAGCTCTAGAGGTGGCTGTCAGTCATGCCCACTTGGCAGATGTGAAGGAGGGCAGTCGCGGCTGCAGAATGGCGGTAGTTCTGCTTTTCCAGTTTCTGAGACCCCACTGCTTGAACTGCCAGCCTCAGAGCCAACTGCTTGCTGGGGGCTCATCCCTGTGCTGCATGCTATGGACTCACAGGGGAAAGTACAAGCCAGGCCTGTCCCTAGGGTATCCCCATTGGAGACAGTCTTCCCCTGGGAGAAGGGGACAGAGCATTTACTCTTGTTTAAGTGAAGGTTCAGCTCGTCTGGAAATCCCTGAATGAGCAGACTCTGTACCTGCTCCTCTCCCATGACCCTTCCCCATCCATGTCGCCTGCTTTGGCCACAGCACGTAATGGGGCCAGCAAGCCACGATCTCTCCTGGAAGAAGCCCAAAAGCCCTGTTGCTCACACCTCCTCGATCGCTGCTAGGGTAGGAGCTGGAAGCTGTCAGTGGTGAATGTGATCTCTGTCACTCCATGAGCATCTGGTCTGGTCTAAGTTCCCTGCTTCCTGACAGAACTTCTTGGTGGGTATTTGGACCCTGCTTTCTCCTCTCCCACTCAGGAGACTGTGCTAACACTGAGTGAGCTCACCGACACCCTCCATTCATTAACAACAGGACCAAAACCAAATACATTTTAGCTCTGGGCTTTTGGACAGCCAGATGCCATCACTTTGGTGGTGAATCCTGACTGTTGTTCCTTCCGCTTGGCTCCTCTTCCCATCTCCCATCCCACCCCGCCCAGCTCCACTTCTGAAGTGTCTGAATGTGGTGTTCATAAGCTACCTTCCTTCCATGACCATATTACCCACATGGCCTCTGCTGAGGATCAGGGCAACACAGTTACCACAGGGGTCGGCCCTCGGTTGCCCTCGCAGCGATCTCAAGAGTGTGGGCCAGGGGCTTTGGGGCCTCCTCCAGGAGAACCATGGCAGCCCAGCCAAGACAGCAAGAGTGTGGACTGGCCAAAAAATAAAAATAAAAAGCAGCTTAAAAAAATTTTTAAGTGGAATGAAACATATTTGACCTGGGAAGAAATAAAAGACCTTTCACGTTGTCAAAGTGACAAATTAGACAAAGAGGCCGAGCAAATGTGAACTCCTGGGGAGTCCGTCAGAAGAAGCCCAGATGGAATGAACGAGGCTGGGGGTGAACGGAGGGAGGCAGACAGGGGATTTATCCAGGTCGGGTTGGGAGACCAGTCAGAAGGCTCCACAAAGCTACACACAGTCTACCCTTTGTACTCGTATTTATCTAACTTGTCAATTTTATAGCCACATTACCTTCCGAGTGTTCAGGAAAGCAGATATTGGTGCTGTCAAGAGGCCTGGCTGTGGTTTGCACAGCATAATAACAGATGCAAAAAACAAAGGGGAGGGGAAAGGGGCCTTCAGAAACCACAAAAGAGCCTTTATAATTACGCCTCTGCCCCCCTCCTCCCTCGGGAGGGTGCCTTTCCCTCGCTGCAGAGGTGCCCACTCTGGGAGTGCTCTCTCCCCCATATGCAGCTGTGCCGGGCAGCTGCCTAGCACGCGTCTACCAGTCACCCTGCATGGACTGGAAGGGAGCGGTTACATGGCTGCCTCTCTTCCTCAGGCTAAATAGCTGCAGTCCTTTAACCTCTCTTCATGGGCCTGATTTTCCATCCCTTTAATCATCCCTGTCACTTTCTGCTGCAGCCTGCACTCACCGCAGCCCTCCCCCAGAGTGGTAACGCAGCCAGCGAGTTTCACCAGCCCAAGAGCCTCCAAGAGCTGCCTTTCAGACCTCCCTCACTATGGGTCCACCCTACAGCCACAGGTCCTGGGAAGCCCATGGTCATGGAGGCCCCACGGCTGAATTACTGTAGCTCATGACCCAATTGGAGCTCTTCCCTCCCCGCTCTTGGATATTCTCCATGACTAGAAATCCCAGTCTACTCTGAGCTGACTCTCACCATTTTTCTCTTCCTCTTCATTCTCAGTACCTCGCTCCTACACACCAGACCCCTAGACTATCATTTGGACCATGGGGCCAGCCCCCTCCAGCCAGCTTCCCTGCCACCCTCTTCCCCTCCAAGACACTTAAAAGCGAGCTGTGGAAATATTTTTTTAAATTGAATGTCATTTCCATCAAGCCCTTCTTCTACTTAAGAGTGTTTAGAAGCTCCCTATTTCTTCTTGTTATAGCAGGGGTAAGTAACTTGCCAGATTCTGAGAATAGTCTCACCATTGCCCCCACCCTTCTCTGCCTGTGTCCAGATCTACACTCAAAAAAAAGCCTTCTCGACTTCATCTCCTTTCCTCTTCTCTCTGTCCACCCCTTTACCCATCCCCAGTTTTTTGGATACTGTTTTGAGTGTCTGGAGATATTGGGTTAGGGTTCTTTGATAGCAAGTAACAGAAACCAACCTCACTAAGAAACAGAGAGGGATCGATTGGAAATGAATGGCCTCATTTGCAGAATTAAAAGCAAGCCTGAGCTATGGTCCTGGAAAAGACAGAACTGGACAGCTCTGAAGATCTTTCTGGAACATTGCCATCAGATGATCAGCTCCAACTGCCTTCTCTCCTTATCTCTCTCTCCTTAAGGTTCAGAGTTTCAGGACTGAGCATCAACAAGCTCTGCGATCAGGGAGCAGAGCTTCGTGATTGGCTGCCCTACCGAAACCACTCAGGGTGCGAGAAGGTTGCCATGTTTAGCAAATAAAAATACAGGATGCCCAGCTAAATTGAATTCTAGATAAACAGTGAATAATTGCCCATATAAATATATCCCAGGAAATATTCCCTGGATTTTTCATTCTTCCCTTCCCCCAGTCCCACTCTGTTGCTCCTAGGTGGGTTAGCATGCCCTCAGACCTGTGCCTGGACCCCCTCTGACTGTACCTCTCTCTTAACGAATCTCTTCAATCCTTTATCAAGGTTGCTGTGGATTTTATTTCTTCCCTTTAATTTTAATAACCAAGCTTCAATTGACTGGAAACTATACATTGACAAAAAAAAAAAAAGGGCACACATGCTCTTTGACAACTTTTATTATTTCTCTTTGTCCCCATTGGAGAAAAAACAACTTTCTCTGTCTTCTCTCTTTTGCCAAATACTTGCAAAACAGCCCTAATAACACTTTGTATTTGCATAACTCTTTAGATCTTAGTGTACATTTTCCCACTCATTTCATTCAGTGTCTTCACTCCTCAGGCAGTTAAGTGGTTAGTGGCACAGGTAACATAGTCCCCCATTTTACAGATGAGAAATTAACAAGTTGAAGGTAAGTTACAAAATCTAGTATGTACCCAAAGTTGTGGATCCAGGACTTGGAACAACGTGCTCTTTCCTTTTTTCTGTAAAGGGCCAAATAGTGAATATTTCGGGCTTTGTATGCCAGATGGTCTCTGTTGCAACTCCTCAACTCTGCCACAGCAACACATAAGCCGCCATAGGTAATACATAAATAAGTAGATGGGTTTTCCAATAAACTGCATTTATAGAAACAGACCGATGGGCTTTATCTGGCCCACAGGCAATACTTTGAAAACTAACCCCTGCTTTATACCACACAACAAACACTTTCCAATCTTTATAGCTCTGTGAAAGTTTGCCTCCAGTTGGGATGCCATAATTTTCACCTCTATCAATTTTAGATGACTAACTTTTTCTCTCCTCTTTACCATTTATGCGTCAGGATTGTTGGGACAATGACCAGATTGGCTCCCCACACCCACTTGGTCTTTCCTATACTGTAGCAAAGTTTTCTTTCCTACATGTGAATGTGCTCAGCTAAGCCCATTCTTCCTCCCCGGATCCTCCTTTTCCTGCACATGAGATCAGTACTGACAGACCTTGTGGGAAGCCAACTTTCTGGGATGGGCCATCTTCTGAGGCCCCCAGGATACCCAGTATTAACCATTAACTGGGATTAAACCATCATCCTTCCCCCTTCACTTTACTCCGGCCTTCATGTGTTTCCCTTCTTGGGCCCTTTCCATGGCAAGTTTGTCCCAGGGAAACTCATACCTGGAATGGTAGCTCTACAACCTGGTCTTCCTGTGGCCTTTTCCTGTGGCCCATGGAAGATAGGCAATGGGTTCAGTTTCTTCTTTAGACTACAGAGCGAAAAGACTGGCTCAAATGCCCTTCCTAAGGAGGGCAGGAGCTCCTTGAGGGCAAACTAGCTGGTTTAGTTTGTACCCATCACTGTTTATAGATCCTGAGCTATAATGAAGGCCAGAGGCTATATGTGAACAGCATTCCCCTGGGTGAAGAGGCCAGCTGCTTAGATGACTAGCCTCAGACATGCTGATTGGCCACCTGGAACCTGAATTCTACATTTTGGGAGCCAGTGGGCCATGACTGATGCCTCACAAAGGGGATGCTGGGTGTCTTTAAGTGTGCTTCACCGGTGCATATGTCCATGTGCACGCCACAGTGTAAAGGCAAGAGACAATAGAGATCGAGCTGCCCAAATCCTTCATTTACAAATAAAGAAATGGAAGCCCAGTGATATCACCTCAGTTTACCACGATGCCAAGAGGCAAACATCCATATTATCTCTAAAAATAGTATTCATAAAGATGATAATAAACTTGATCAATGAAACTGATATTTGTAACTATAAAGCTTTCCTTAGTTTTTTTTTTTTTTTTTTTTTGAGACAGAGTCTCACTCTGTCGCCCATGTTGGAGTGCAGTGGTCTGATCTCAGCTCACTGCAACCTCCACCTCCTGGGTTCAAGAGATTCTCAGGCCTCACCCTCCCAAGTAGCTGGGATTACAGGTGCACGCCATTACATCCAGCTGATTTTTGTATTTTTTTAGTAGAGACAGGGTCTCGCCATGTTGGCAGGCTGGTCTTGAACTCCTGACCTCAGGTGATCCACCCACCTCAGCCTCCCAAAGTGCTAGGATTACAGGCATGAGCCACCATACCTGAACAATTATCAACATCATTTAAATAAGGTACAGAGAATGTGCCCATCCCAGCACAGCCCAAAAGCCACGCACGAGATCAACCTTTTCAGACACACTTAAGACTTGTTCTCTTCTCAAGACTTCCGTATGTCCAAAGGTAGAGTTTTAAAGAAACACCAAGAGCCTCCTCAGAATATTTTTGTAAAGTGTCTAAAAGGGTCGAGAGAGACAACAAAGGCTAGAGGGCACAAAAAATACTTGGGTTTTGAATGCCCTGGCTCTGCCACCTTAAAGTTGTGTGACCTTAAGCAAATTATTTAACTTTTCTAAGCTCCAGTTTTCTCACATGTAAGACGGACATAATGATAGTATTACCACATAGAGGTAATGTAATAATTAAATGAGATAATGTATACAGACCACCTAACATAGGGCTGACTTAATAACTAATCAATACTCACTATTATTGTGGTGGTGGTTGTTGACACCTCAGACTTTTTACCTTAAGCTCAACTGAAATTCTGAGTTGCCTCCTTTTTCAGCTGTGAAACAGGGATAATCATTTAACAGGAGAGACAGAGAACTAAAAGTTAGTTATGACCTGGTCAGAGTGCTCTGGCTCTCTGCCCAGAGCCACAGTCTGCCCCAAATGATCTCCAGGCTAAGAGACAAAGTGGCTTTTCTGAGTAGGGTTTCCTCTGCGGGGGTGGCCTCCAGGCAGGACACAGGCTGTCTGGAAGAGGTCATGATCTCAGGTCAGAGGTGCAAGGAATCAGGGGAACAAACCAGGAAATGTGAAAAAGGCTAGTGCCCAGTTCTCTTCATGGACAATCTTTTTGGCATTATGACGTGTTAGTCAAATTGTGCCCTATGGCCTGCTTTGGAAGTCCTACAGGTTCAAGGCAAGGGAAGTCAGAATTTCTACAACAGAAAAACAAAGGGCCAGGATAGCTCCTAGATAAACCTCATCCCTCAAGGACATCTTCGTGGGGCAGACTACAGCATTTCCATCAACTTCATGCTATTTACAAAAAAAAAAAGACTAAGTGAAAAAGCAACCCACCTAGAACTTCGTTTTTTCAGTGATAGAAGAAACATACCAGACAAAACAACTTTCTCCTTTTCCCTGGGTTACTTGGCGGCAGCAGGAAACACTTGACAAAAAGTTCCAGAAGGGCTCAATATTGAGTTTGAAAAGTACAAATTCCCACAATAATCACTGACTAAAGTAGCAATATTTTAGCCCTGCGCAGGAATCTGGTTATTATTACCATTTATGCCAAGTATCTTGTTTCTATTCTTTTTGATTTAAGGTCATTTTCTCCGTAAAAGGCCTGCTTTGTTAAGCACTACACGTTGACGTTGGTTTCAGGAGGAAGAGGACAGGGTAAGTCGGGAAAGTATCGTGTTGTGCTGAAACATTAGATGGCCTGGTTGCAAAGAAACCCTTTGTTTTTGCTCTGAACCTGATGTATTCCTCTCGCCTTCATTTTCTAGTTCAGTGCACTCATTTCAGCATTGTCCACCCTGACAATAATAAATACCTCTGCTTGAGTGTGGCAGATTCCAAGGAGGGAATCCAAGAGGATGTACCTACCTGGACAGGCCGTGGTGCAACCTGGCCAAAGGAGACCAAAGTCAATCCCCATGTCTAGAAAGTCACCCCATGACTCAGGGTCCATTGCGTAGACATCTTGTGAGAAAGGATACCAAGAGACCATGAAATATCTTGCTCAGTGATGTACTACCAGGGACAGTTTTTCCGCTTGGGGGATATTGGCAATACCTAGAGAAATTTTTGGTTGTCACAACCCAGAGCAAGAATACTATTGTGCCTACTGGGTAGAGGCCAGGAACATTGCTAAATGTCTTACACTACACAGGGTGGTCCCCACAACAAAGACTGACTCACCCCCAAATGCCAATTGTGGTAAAGTTGAGAAACCCTGAGACAGACAGAGGCACAGAAACCCCTGCATGGGCAGGCCCCTGCCCACCTGCCTAGCCTTATTTTGCCCCACTCCCCCATTCTCTGAGCCCCAAGTGCATAGACACCTTCCAGTTCCTGACTTCACAGTGTTCCCTCAGCATATCCAAACCCTCTGCCTGCCAGGCTCTTCCTTAGCACTCCTCAAGCTTATCCCCCAGAGCTACCTCAATACACACTTTCTTGAGACGCCTTCCCATCAAGGCTAAGTCAAATTCCCCATTATCTGTTCTCTCTCTCTCTTATTCTTTTTTTTTTTTCCGGGGCTTTTAAAGTATCGTCATGGGGCCAGACATGGTGGCTCGTGCCAGTAATCCTAGCATTTGGGTGGCCCACACAAGTGGATTACCTGAGCTCAGAAGTTTGAGACCAGCCTGGGCAACATGGTGAAGCCCCATCTCTACTAAAATACAAAATTCGCCCATTGTGGTGGCACACAGCAGAGTGAGACTCCATCTCAAAAAAAAAATAAGTATCTTCATGGCTTTTCTCAAATCCCTCAGCTATTACATCTATGGGCTAACAGCACTAACTCTAGAGTCTTAGGACTCGTGTTTGAATCCCAGTTCGGCATATTCTAGTTGTGTGACCTTGGGCGAGTTACTTAACTTCTGTGTCTTTGTTTTCTTATCTCCCGCATGAAGATAAGTAATAATAGTACCTAGCCCCTGTGGATTAAATGAGACAGGCTGATACAGTGCTTAGGACAGTGGTAGGCCCATTGTGAGCACTATATGAAATACTGCTATTATTATTACTTCAAGAATTTTAAACTGCCATTCTGAGACATGTAGCTACAAGATAAGAAAGATATGTGGCCAGTGCGGTGGCTCGTGCCTGTAATCCCAGCACTTTGGGAGGCTGAGGTGGGCAGATCACTTGAGGCCAGAAGTTCAAGACCAACCTGGCCAACACAGTGAAACCCCCCCTCTACCAAAAACAGAAAAAAATTAGCCGGGCTTGGTGGCAGGCACCTATAATCCCAGTTAGTCGGAAGGCTCAGGCAGGAGAATTGCTTGAACACAGGAGGCTGAGGTTGCAGAGAGCCGAGATCGCAACTGCACTCCAGCCTGGGCGATAAAGCAAGACTCTGTCAAGAAAGAAGGAAAGAACAGAGCAGAGCAGAGCAAAGAAGGAAAGGCAAGGGGAAAGGAAAGGGGAATAAAAAAAAGATAGCATATTTTCTTCCCACCAGCACAATGCTTCATCACTGTTTGTTTTCTGCCAAAGAAATCAGAGCTCAGATCATTTGTGACAGGGAAGTCAAAGTCAAATGCTTCCTATTTACAGATAGAGAAATTGAGTCTCAGAGAGGTTAAGGGATTTGGAAAGGTCACATGGCGGGTTTTCTCTACCTGATAACTCTCTCTCTCCCCCCTTCCCTCTCCTCTCCATCTCCCTCTGTCCTTCCCTTTTGAGATGATAACTGGTGTGATTCCTAATCTACACTAAATGAATTATTCCTTAGCAACTATCTTCATCAGACTACAGGTGCCTGCTCCCAGCGTTCTAAAAAGACCTGGCAGTTATAAAATCCAGGCTTATCAGAACAAAACACACCAAACAGAACACAGCAAGGTTTCTAAACAGATTTAAGGTGCTTGCAGAATAGACTGAAAAAAAATTTTCTAAGCCTGGAAAAAGTAGACCAAATGCAAATAATAACATAAACAATTAAGAAAACACTGAGGCAGTCTTCTGCAGCTTTCTGCCATGAAATGTTTTGTCCTCAGAAAGGGCTAGGAATGTCCCTGCAGGGCTACACAGGCTGGGCCACATCTCATTTACCGTAACTCCTCCAAATCCTAGTAACCTTTTAACACCTCCCAGCTTCTTACGATAGTTCTTACTCTTTTTCCGCCCACTACAGGTTTTGTAAGCTGACTTTTTGCCAACACTATGATGTTTTAACCCAAAGACTTCCTGGAACCTAAGACCTCATAGGGAAGAGTGTGGTATCCAGAACTTACAGTGGAAATCACTTCTGACCTCTTAGCCTGACCATAGCTGAGGAACACAGCTTTGGCTGGGGCCCCACTCTTCAGGAAGCACCTGAAAAAACTGGACAGCAGAGAAAAAGTCCAATCAAGATAATGCGCCTCATCCTGTGAAGGACAGCTGGTTGGAGAAGTCTTAGGGAGGAACATGAAAGCTGTTTTCAATATCTGAAGATTTTCAGGTTCCAGGAACATTACACACTGAGCTAACATAGACTTCCACTTCTACTAACTCATTAAAAAACTGGTAATACATAGCAAGTGTAAATATAACTAAGCTCATTAAAATAGTCAAATTGGCCAGGCATGGTGGCTCATGCCTGTAATCCCAGTACTCTGGGAGGCCAAGGTAGGTGAATGACTCGAGGCCAGCAGTTCAAGACCAGCCTGGCCAACATGGTGAAACCCCATCTCTACTAAAAACACCAAAAAATTAGCCAGGTGTGGTGGTGCACACCTGTAATCCCAGCTACTTGGGAGGCTGAGGCATATGAATTACTTGAACCCGGGAGGTGGAGGTTGCAGTGAGCCAAGACTGTGCCACTGCACTCTAGCCTGGCTGAAAAAGAGAGACTCTGTCTCTAAATAAAGTAAAATATCTAGGTGCCAGAAATTAGAAAGAGAACTCCTATTCAGAGTGGAAAACTTCTGCTTATGTCTTGATTATATTTATCCAAATATAGGTTCTAATGTCTAGAGACTAGAGTTTTGATGCCCACACAACTTCAGATCCATACCAAACACAACTGTGTTCTAGAAATTTACACTGCTTACCCGATACGTTGATCGGGGTTCTCCAGAGAAATAGAAGCAATAGGACAAAGAGATGAGGTAAGAGAGGCTGGGGGGATAGAGGGAGGGAGGGAGAGAGGGGGATAGAGGGAGGGAGAGAGAGATTGATTTTAAGGAATTAGGTCACGCAATTGTTGAGACTGGCAAATCCACAGTCCTCAGGTCAAGCCATCAAATTAGAGACCCAGGGAAGAGATAATATCGTAGCTCAAGTCCAAAGGCATTCTAGAGGCAGAATTCCTTCTTTTCCTTTTCAGGCCTTCAAGTGACTGAATGAGGCTCATCCACATTATGGGTGGTAATGTGCCCTACTCAATGCCCACTGATTTAAATGTTAATCACACCTTTAAAACAATATCTTCACCGCAACACCTAGATAGGTGTTTGACCAAAAACTGGGTACCATAGCGTAGCCAAGTGGATGCATAAAATTAACCCTCACAGCCTAGTATCTGAATCCCAAATCAAAAAAATTATATTCATAATGTAAGAATTTGTCCTTGACAGTCTCCCTGGGGCACATAGAAAAATTCTAGAAGAATAGAAAACTTCTCTACAGAGGATCCTCCCTATCCCAAGGGGAAAAGCAGCTAAAGATAAATTCACAAGCAAAAATTACAAACCACCTGAGGAAACAAACCACCATAAAAAAGACTAGAAGACAAAAGTATTATCACCTCAAGAATTTAAAATAAAATAATCTAAAGTAAATAAAGAATAGAAACCATAAAGTGCAATAGAATATTTCTTCCAAAGATAAATTTGAAAAAGTAGCTTCTAGTGCTTCTGTAAATAAAAGATATAGTCAAAGGATTAAGTAGCAAATTAGACAAAACTGAAGAGAGGCTTAGTAAACCAAAAATGGATCTTGGAAAATTTTCCAGAATATAGCATTAAACAATTAAAATAAATAAATACAGAGAAAATACAGGACATGAAGGATAGAATATGAAGGTCCAACCTAAATCTAATATGAATGTTAGAGAGAAATTGGAGAGAAGGAAGGAGATGCAATATTCAGAGCTAATGGCTGAGAATCCTTACATTGATGAAAGGCGTAGAGATTCAACTGAAGAAGCTCTTGGAATTATGAGCAAGATAAATAAGTAGAAAACTATACCAAAGCTCATTACAGTGAAACTTCAGAACATGACTGACAGAGAAAAATTATAAAATCATCAGGGAGAAAAGAGAGATCATCCATAAGAAAAAATAGCAGACTTGGCATCAGCAAACAGAGACCAATAGAGTAATTTTTCCATGCTAAAAAAAAAACAAAAACTATCACTGTAGAATGCCCAGTCAAGGTTAACTATCATTCAAGAGTGGAGATTTTTTTTTAAATCACATCTTCAGAAAAAGCAAGAGAATTTATAACTTCTAGAAGAAAAATTGAGCTGAGAGGAAGGAGTAGGGTGGAAAAATCGATGGTAAGTGAAGAAATGGATGAACACGGGGGTAAAGCTAGACAAAAATTGACTGTAAAATAGCAGTAACAATACTACTGTCTGATTTTTGCAGCATTTAAAGACAAAGTGGGGCTGGGCATGGTGGCTCATGCCTGTAATCCCAGTACTTTTCAAGGCTAAAGGAGGAGGATCACTTGAGGCCAGAGTGGGAGAACAGCCCTGGCAACATAACAAGACCCTGTCACTACAAAAATAAAAAACATACACACACAAAATTAGCCAGGTGTGGTGATGGTGTGTGCCTATAGTCCCAGCTACTCAGGAGGCTGAGGCAGGAGGATCATGTGAGCCCAGAAATTCGAGGCTGCAGTGAGCTATGATCATGCCACTGCAATCCAGCCTGGACATCAGAACAGGACCGTATCTCATAAAATAAAACAAAACAAAACAAAACAAGACAATTTGTTTTGTTTTGTTTTGTTTTATGAGATACGGTCCTGTTCTGATGCCTATCTAACACTTATAAAATGTAGGATGGAGTAATTAGAGTACGAACATCCTAAGGATAGTCTAATTAGTTGTAAAATTGTTATAGTAATATGCATGAATTATATATACTTACAGCAGCTCACACAGTATACAGTGTCTTTCTTATAATAGAATCTTGATTTTTTTTCACAGGGCAGCACTGTGCCCAGCTAAAAATACACACCTTCCCAGATTCCCTTGAGGCTGAGGTAACAATGTATTGCAGTTCTGGCAAATGAAATATAAACAGAAGCCTACTGGTTGACTTCCAAAAATAATGCTTTGCCCTTTACCCGTTACCATTTTCTCTTCTTCCTACCTAAAATCAAGACAAAATGCCTGGAGGAACAACAGACAGCCTGCACCCGTGAAGAGAGGACAAAGTCACATACTAAAGATAAAAGGATAATTACGTTTAAAAACTCTGAGTGTTTGATGATATCCTTAAAGATGTGTACTAGCTCTTTTAATCCACTGTTTTCTATGATGAGCAGCCAAGTGTAAACCTAAATTGCACAATGTGATATAGTAAAAAGTAAGTATTTGATCTTTGTCCCTGGTTCCTGGCTGATTGTCCTGGTTCCTAAATCCCTTAGCATCTATGGAGTGGTAAGATCTTTTGTATGTTAATAAGAGGACTGGTCGTTGAGGGCATCTGGATAGATTCAGGAGCCTTGGTCACCTGAAAGACCAAGACATGATTAGAGGTTTGAAACTTTCATCCCCGCTCCACCCATAGCCTCCAGGGAGCAGAGAGGTGTTGTAGGTTGAGTACAGCCACCAATGGCCAATGATTTCATTAATCTTGCCTACATAATGAAACACCCACTAAAAACTCCTACACACAGGGATTCAGTGAGTTTCAGAGTTGACAAACACATCCATGTGCTGGGAAGGTGGCAGACCCCGACCTCACATGGACAGAAGTCTTGTGCTTGGGACTCTCCTGGACATTGTCCTATGTACCTCTTCATCTGGCCATTCATCTGCTCCTTTACCAAAAAAAAAACAGTGACAGTCAGCAAAATACCTTCCAGAGTCCTGTTAGCCCTTCCAATTACTGAACCTGAAATGGGAGGGTGGTGGGAATACACAACTTTGTAGCCAAGTCAGACAGAAGTGGTAGTATCTTGGACACCCAGTTTGCAATAGGCATCTGAAGTGAGGGCAGGCTTGTGGGACTGGGCCTGTATACCTGTGGAGTCTGACACTCACTTCAGTTACTGTCAGAATTGAACTGAATTAAGGACACCCAGCTGGTGCCCAGAGACTTGGAAAGAGTTGTGAGCATGGAAAAAAAAAAAAAACCCCACCCATTTGATGTCAGAAGTTTAAGTAAAAACAGTTTAAAATTGATGGCATTCATAGAACGTTAAAAATTTAAGAATTAACCACTCAAAGGAGAGAATTCAAATGTATGTAACTTTTAAAACAGAAAGGGAAAAAATATATAGAAAATTGTCAGTAAGCTAATAGAAAAAAAAGCAAAGAAACTAAGAGATTAAAACAAAAACGTGAAGATATCAATATATACCAGTCATAACTGTATTCTAATAAAGGTAGTCAATGTAAAGAATTAAAATTACTTGTTAAAAGAAAAAAAATCAAATAAGAAATTCAGCCTTTTGTTTCTTCTAGTAGACACACTTAAAATACAGTAACACAGAATTATTGAAATGAGATCAGAAAAAATATACCAAGCAATCATTATCCAAAAAAAACAGTGCCAGTAAGTAAAGTATCTTCCAGAGTTCTGTGAGACCTTCTAGCCAATTATTGAACCTGAAATGGGAGGGTGGTGGGAACCCACAACTTTGAAGCCAAGCAATGAGGCAATATTAAAGTCAGAAAAAATAAAGAAAACAATTACAAAATGATAAAAAGAATTCTCCAGAAAAATAAAACAACACTAAACATGAACATACCTAACAACATAGCCAACAATAAAACAAAAGAAAAACTATCAGATGCACCACCAGGGTGAGGGATCTTCGGGGGGAAGGGAACAGGCTTATTGTCCTGGGTAAATGTGAAAGTAGGTTTAGACAAGCGAGTGAAAGTTATGAAGGGGAAGGACTTTGACTCAATCTATGGAGGGACTTCTATAACTTTCAGAGCTGTCCAAAATTGAAATGGGCTGCCTGGGAGGGAGGGAGAACTCCAAAACATGGTTTCCTAAGCAGAATTTGTATGGCTACTTAATAAGACTATTGTCCAAATATTCAAGTATCAGACACTTAGCCCCATGAGGGCAGGAGCCATGACTGCTTTGTCTACCATTTATGTATCTGATGTCTGAAGCAGAGCCTGGCACAGAACAGGTGTTCATAAGTATCCACTGTATGAACGAACTATCCAGACGAGAAAATGGATAAAACCACCTCTAGAGTGGCTTCTAATTCAGAGATTCAGTGATTCTTAATTTACCCATTTCTCTGCTCTTTGTCCTTATTCCAGTCTGTGGCCCAGGGTCCCCACAAACCCAGGGGACCTGAGGCTGGGCCTGAGAAGCACAGGTAGGCTGAGGAATGGACAGAAGAGCAACACAGAGGCCTACAGGATGGACGCCAGCTCTGCAAAGAGCTTCCAAGAAGCTTCCTGCCACAGAAATTCCACCTGGCCACAGGAATAGCCCAGGAACTGGGCCTGGAGGAAGGTGGCAACGAGCTGCTCATGGCAGTGACTTTTAGTCAGCACGTCTTGCCTGTGCTTCCAGGGATGGAGAGGCGACTGTGAGGAGGTCACTGGGTCAGGCAGGTCACAATCCGAGCTTCTCCCACAAAGGGAATTTACAGAGACAGAAGGAAGTGAATGAGTTCCCAGCTCTAGGAATTCCTTAGGTCAAGAAGGGACAGGGTCCCTGAACTTGGGGACCCTCTAGTCTAATGGGAAGATACACTAAACCCTCTTAGAGCCCTAGAATGAATGCCACCTATAGTTCCTCTCTTCAGGAAGGAAATCCAGTCTGAGGGAGGAGACAGGGCCCTCATATCATTCTTGCCTTCTCACCTGTGTAATACAAGGGAGTGAAGGAAGTGGCAGGCCCTGGGACAGGTCCATTTCTATGATGAATGGAGGCTCTCACAGGACCTTCCCACAGCCCTGCTGTCAAGGGCCCCGTCCCCATCCTCCCTCCCCGCCACGATGCCTTACCCACTGGAACAGATCGTGACCTAAGCCTATTCCCAACGCAGGAAGCTGGCCCTGTCCCGCTTTCCCTCCAACTCTGTTTTTTGTTTTTTTCTCACCCAGACTCCCCCTCCCCCACTTGCCATTTCCCAAGCTGGCCCCGGGGAGACCAGACCCAACGGCCCACTGGTGATCTTGTTTTACATGAGACATTTCCAAAAAAGACCAAAAAATTCTTTCCAGGAAAATGCCATTTTTAAAATATAGTTCCAGACACTGCGGCAACATTAGGAAAACAAAGGACTTGGCAGAAATGTTTTCTGCATGGAGACTTTCTCTAATACCTTTTCCAAATTGCCTCCAGTGGGGATGACTCCAGGGGTCAGTTCTGGTGCACCCAGGCAACTACAAACAGATAGTGACTTCTCGTTGGTACATTGTCCCAAGTCTTTCCTTATCTGAGATCACCCTGGGATCTTCCAGGCTTAAACAGGGAGCCCCTTCCAAGGTTCCCCAAAGGCAGCAGATGTCTCCGAGGGTCGAGAAATAATGCTGCTTCCTCCCCCTAGAAGGGACTCCTCAGCCCCCCTCTTGCCACCATCCCTAAGCTGGGGATCCAGGTTAGGTGCTGGAGGGACATCATGTGCTTAGTTGAGAGCTTGTCTCTCTTATCATCCAAGTGAGAGGAATACACAGCTTTCCCCGGGGCACACATAGTGGTATTCCCCTTTTTGCATGTATCAGGTGTAATTGATCAGGTTGATGTCATATATAATAATGGTCATTATTGATTAAACACTCACCATGTGTCCATCAGCAACCTATTCTTTATATTTGTTTTACCTCATTTAATCTTCGTAACAATTGTCACAGGCTGAATTGTATCTACCCCCTCCCCACCCCTCCACAAGACTCCTATGTTGAAGTCCTCACCCCAGTACCTCTCAATGACTGTGTTTGGAGATACATCCTTAAAACAGGTGATTAAGTTAAAGTGAATCCTAATTAGAGTGGGCCCTAATCCGATAGGATTGGTCTCCTTAGAGAAAAGGAAATGTGAACATCCTGAGGCACATGCTGGGAGGCAAGGACACAACATCCTCAAGCCAAGGAGACGGGCCTTGGAAGAAACCAAACCTGCCAGTACCTTGATACAGGACTTCCTGCCTCCAGAACTATGAGAAAGTGCATTTCTGTTGTCTAAGCCACCCAATCCATGGTATTTATGGCAGACTTGGCAAACTAATACAACAATCTTAACATCTTACAGAGGACAAAACAGTCTTGAACGGTATAAAACGGCAAGCACATAGAGCTCCAACTGGAGAATGAACCGCGTGACTCTGGAACACAAGCTCTTAGAACTGGATCCTGCTGCTTCTCCTCTGTGCTCTGCTGTGTTTGTGCGTGATCCATTCACTTACTGCTATGAAACAAACCACCCACAACCTATTGGCTGAAAACAACATTTATTTGGCTCACGAATCAGCAATTTGGGCAGGGCTTGTTGAGAACAGCTCATCGCTGCTCTACTTGGTATCAGCTGGGACATTTCAAGGATGATCTGAACTCTCATGCACTCATTTGTCTGACAATTGATGCTGGCTGTTAGCTGGGACCTTAGGTGGGGCTGCTGGTCCAAAATTTCATGTGGACTCTGTGTAGCCTGAGCTTTCTCCTAACATAGCAACTGGTTTCAAAGGCAAGCATCCCAGGAGACAGGGCCAGATGGAAGCTGTGTCGCCTTCTCTCAACAGCCTTAGCAGACACACAGCATCACTTTTGCCACATTCTCTTCGTTAGAAGCAAGTCACTGAGGCTGGTCCATGGTCAACAGGAGAGGAATTCAATGCTACCTCTTAGTGGGAGGAACGTCAAGGACTTTGCAGTCTTTCGACACCATTACAGTGCATGTACCATTGACATGCTTGAACTTGAATATATTCTATGTCAAGTGTTTATTTTACCAGCAGCACAGTATCATTGAAAGGACATCAGACTGAGAGTCCAAAGTCCTGAACAAAAGCCTGTCAGCTGTATGGGACTGGGATTTCAACACCCATCTATGAAAAGCAGTGCCTGCTTGTTCACTCAGTTCAGCCACTGTTCTGTGTATGGAAATGAGGTCACTTAATCCCATTACAGTCTCTAAAACAAACACTAATCTCAGTCAGAAGGTTAGTTAGAATGCTGCTCCTGCGGCACTTTATTTGGCTTTGTTATGATAGCCTGGGTTCTCCCTGTCTCTGTGCTGGAGTCCCTGTCTCAGAAATGTAGCAGTCTGTGTACAGAGCACATCCTCAGCACTAGGCACTGCCACAGGTGCCTTATGTTTGCTATCTCATTCAGTCATGGTTTCAACTCTATAAAGGAGGGTTTCTTTACATCCATTTTACAAATGAAGAAACTAAAGCTCAGGGCAGGTAAGTAATTTGCCCAAAAGTTAG